CACCAGGTTGGCATCTCCTTTACTGAACAGATGCCTGGGGTGGAGAACCAAACGAATCTTGGGTTGTAATTCACAAGCATCAAGCATCAGCTGCAAATATCCTAATTTGTGTTAATTATGGATTTTCTTGTGTACACAGAAAACAAAACTTACTGAAGAAAAGAATAGAGTAGAATTAGTACACTCACTTTCTGGTGCCTTTGATTTCTCATAACAGGTTGCCGTGGCGACCCTCTCATTGTCAATCTTTGTCTTCTTGTAGATGACACACTCAGCCAGGGAAGTCTCGTAACCCTGGCAGCGGACGCTAACACACCTTTCTGGGACCTGCCCATAGGGACGGCCAGTTGTCAGGGAAGAGTATGAGACGGAGTCAGCGATCGCTGCCCCGCTGTACATAAGAAATACTGTTAGTGCACATGCATTTATCCCACATGTTTCTCATATAGTTTTTGACATGTTCATTGTACAGTACGTATCAGGGCTGTCACTTCCTTTGAACTGGAAAGAATTTGAACTGGCACATAAGTAGCTGGGTTTCCATTGCATTTTTGTGCAGAAAGAAAAGTGATCTATTTTAGAAAAGTCAACAAAATACAATTTCAAATGGTCTGTGTTGAGTTTTCTCCACTCAAGATATCATTGCAATTAAACCTGGTTGGGACTATTTCCCTGGGACCTGATACGGCAGCTCGGCACGACTTGAATGCAAAAATTGTGTTTTCATTTCAATTTTGCAAAATATTGCTTTGTCCAATCTGAGAGACCACATCATGTGGCTGCTTGTTGCCACTTTGGTGCAAAGCTAGAAAGTGAGACGTTAGATTTGTTGTAGAGTAAGGCAGTTGTTTGTTTTTTTACAAAGACAGCAAACAGCCTCTACTTTGTTGGTAGTTTTAACAATAATTAATAAATACTGTACACTATAGCACAGATGGTTCATTAGGTGTGTTTCCATTAACCTGCATAATTTGAAATTGCAAACTTAAAGGTCCCATATAGCATATAGGGAAGATGTCCATGTGTTGTTGGATATGAGGAGTAACAGCCTTAATATGAATATCGTACATGCACATCATGTAAGTGTATCTCCTCTTACAGTGGCTTCCCATTCTCCTTGCAGGCCACGTTAGCAGCTGCCATGTCCCACATGTCTTCACAAACCAGTAACTCCTCCCCATCTCCAATATTGTTGGGAATGAAGATCTTGACGACTCGTGTCTCTGTGTCTATCGAACCTTCGAACCTCACTTCACTTTCTGTGGTGACAAAGAGATAATAATCATCAACTATAAGAAGGACTATAAAGTGATAAATATCACATGGTGCTGAATGTATCTGTGAGAAACAAACCATCGCAATTTTCCCCAAAGTGGGACATGGCGGGTTTCTTGGTCCGACATGAGACAGCCATCGCCTGGAAAACACATGACCATTGTGTAAAAAAATTATAAAAATGTTCATGTCCAGAACCAGTTACATTTACTGAAGATCTTGAAAGGGTGTAAATGTTGAAATCAGCCGCTGAAAGCCTGTAATGATTATCCCTTTTTGAATGTGCTGATTCCACATCAATTCAAATCCTGGTTCAGATTCTTGACATGAAATAGAAATTCAGTTCCTCACTGACCACATGCTTAGAAAACTCTGTGTGGGTAACTAATTCCTTGTCAGAGCTAGCAGTCGATACCCGAGACTGTACCTACCTGGCAGTAGGAGCGGTAGTTCAGATGTGTTCGCCCACAAACTGGGACGACATTGTCAATGGGACACAGGTAGGGTGGTTTACAGGAGCACTCTCCGTCAACGCAGCGCTCCCATGGAGGACAAAACACCAGGTCACATGATGAACGAGTAAATCTGATGAATGTAGACAGACAGATCATGAGGTGCATTTCCATCCATTCTCAATTTGGCGCAGAAAAAAACCCGCAGTAGAAATCCAGAAACTTCACAAAATGTTTTCATCTCGTTGCTCCTTCTTCTGCAGAGGTATAATGGCACCTGACTGGACAATTAGCAGCATCCACTGCTTATCTCGATGAACCTAACTCCTAATATTCTCATAGGAGTAGTGGATGGAAATGTACGAAAATGTCCATTTTCTGAAAATCGGGTTAAATGTACAACGGACCAACAAAAGAAATTCACACAACCTCAGACAGAAGTCCAGCCACTCAAAGAATACCTACTTCTTTTCTCGGCACTTGGGATCCAAAAACTCCTCTTTCTCAGGTGCTTTAGGGACCGTGTAGGTGGGACTGGTGGCCTCCACTGGGGGGGCGGTGGGGGCTGTGGGGGCTGTGGGGGCTGTGGGGGCTGTGGGGATGCGTGGGAATGGATACTGTGGTATTTGCTGGACCTGCTGTTCAATGGCTGATGGGACCTCATCATCTGGTGGACTCCACTGGAGGAGCAATTAAAACACAGTACAGTAACAAATCAGTGCAACGCCACAGAACTGAATATGGTAATGCTCATCATGTTGCTTTGTATTTCTACTTTATATCTATCTGGGAGTCACTTGTTAAATTCAGTAATTGTTATTCATTCATTTCTCTTTGAGACAGAATGACAAAGTAGCTAATAAAAACACATTTACCAGTTTTCTTTAATGCATTGTACAAGTTTAAATGAGTTACTCCACTAAAACTGAGTCACTAGGTCTTAATGATATTAATGTAACTTGTCCGTAACTTTCTCCAGCTGAAAGAATGAGATAGTCTGTTAAATCCTCATTAGCCATTCTAATCTCATCTCTGCAAGTGAATCAAGTCAACTGTTGGATGAATTAATGAGCAGCAAAAACAGAAATCCTACCTAATGCAAGTGATGAACAAAAAGAAAAGTCCCAAAATATTCAGAGGAAGAAAATGAAGGAACCTTTTTTTACTCACTGTTTCAGAGGGAATGACGAGAACAAATAGCAAGAGAAGAGAAACTGGAACTGATCTCATCCTGACCAACATGGACAGAGTCCTACAGTTCAGCTTCTCACAAAAATGTCTTTTTCTCACGTGTTCAGAACAAAAAAAAATCTTTTACAATGAAGAAACAGCTGCAGATACAGACAGAGACACGGTTACTCCCTCTGTCAGGGAGCACTCCAGTTGACAATCTGATATCTCCTCTGTTCAATCAATCATTAGCTTGTCAGCACAGACTCCATATTGATTCAGCTGACTGATCATGTACCATAATGTCACACAACAGTAAAAGAAGAGTCCAAAAACCCAAATTCCCGCAAATAGACAAACGCAAACATGTGCCAGTGTTGAAGGTCACGGTTTCCTGCTATGGGCCAGATAAATGTAGGTCGGCTGAACCGGAGTGGGACCATGAGAACCCAATAGATCTTCTTCACAGAAACATTTGGATAAACCACAGTAAGAAAAACCAACAACCGCTCCAACCTGAACAACCACACAGGTCGTTTTATTTTGTTTTTTTTTTAAATAGCGCCCCTACGACGGCGGTTGTACTGGACCTCGGTTGTCATAGTTACATTAATAAACACGCAGACTGTACAGACAGCGGCGTACCTACCTTTGCCGCCATATATCGCCTATAATAAAAGTCATGGCCTGGTTAGGTTTGGGAAAAGATGGTGATTTGGGTTAAAATAAGTACTTCCTTAACATTAGACAATCTTAGTTGTCATGGTTACAATAACAACTAACGGTCGTGGATAATAGAAACAACACTATCACATGGGAATCGAACACCGCTCTCCTGTGTCACGCTACTTCACCGCACTTTTCCCTTCGCTCCTGCCATAATATCTACGACCACTAGATGTCGCCTCGCAACAAAACGTAACTATGGGTCATAATAACACCGACGACCTGTGGGCTCATTTTTCACAGAAGGACAGACTCAGAAAAACAAAGGTTGCGATATACGAACCGAGATATTTAAAAATCTAAATATTGACATTATATAAACATATGATAATATCGTGATGGCACATGTTCGGCCAAATTTTCTACAGATATCATGATAATATTGTTGTGAATTGTTTTGTCCAATAATCTCGTAGTGAAAATGTGATATTGTGACAGCCCCAGTTTAAGTGCTTTAGTTTAGAACTAAGTGTTTTTCCCTCTATGAAAAGTCAAAATGTGTTCAGGGGAAAAAGAAAATGCATGCTGGGGAAGGCTGCAGCCCTCTGACACCCTGAAGAGAATAAACAGATGGATGGAAGTCCAAATAAGTTAATGTTCAACACTATATCAATAGATGAGCATTTCAAAATAACTGTGTACTTAACATGAGACAGTGGGACTGAGAGAACGCTGTGTATCACAACCTGATTATTCCTCCGAGCTTGTTTCCCAAATCTATAGAAAACACATCAAAGTCACACTGCTGCACTGGATGACATGTTCCTTCCACATTATAAAGATAAAATATAAAAATGAGTAAAAAAAAGTAAAGAAATATGTAAGGATATGTGCCTCTATTGAAAGATTTTGAGCACCAATTATGGATTAATCCGCTGCTGAAAATAGTCCCCAGTGAATGCTCTATTTCCTGTTGTGTGTTTGATAAAAACAACAAAGAGCCGCTATTTTCAGAACTTTTTAAAGATAAAATATATTGGTGAGGTGTTTTCATAGATTTAGTAGGAACCAATGGGCTTGGAGCTGAGATTAGAGAAGTCAGAAAGTGTTGAGAGCTGCACTAACACCAACCCACAACTTCCCAAACCACAAACCACGCCACCGCAACATCCACACATCTGTGTTTCTGCACTGGAAATCATTGTTGATTCAGGTTACTGGAGTCCGGGTTTGCCACATTTACACACAACCACAAACACCACCCCCACTAAACACACCTACACACTCGAGATCAATAGCATGAATGTGGGGGACAGACTTTGTATATGTGTGTTCTGTCCACAATGACAAGATAAGATAATGAATGACAACGCACATTAGTCAACATGAATAATGGTAACATGAACTGTACATCAATAAACAAAAAACAGACAGTGCTAGTACTTGGAGTAGCTTTTATTTACTTTCTACAGCAACAAATTAATAACTTATTAGAAATGATGAAAGTTATAATTATAGTGTGTCAGTACAAGGCTGTAGCCACAGAGAAATATGAACGTTATCCTCATGTCGCTGGTTGTGTGAGTGTTTTCAGGAGTTGTACTTGGTCACAGCAGGCCAGCCTGTAATCAATCTGATCCACTCAAAGTAATGAGCAACCTGGAACAGAGACAAAAGACAGTCATTGTTATTCATGTATTATTGTTATTAATTGTTGAGCGATGTCACATAAAAACAACAATGTCACGGAGGTGCTAAAGGAAAAGTCAGAGGCTCAGAGAAAGTTATTAGGAAAGTTATGATGCCCCCTTCTGGGTACCATGAATGTCGGCATGAGTCGGGGCAGAGCAAAGCGGAAAGGTTCATCCTCTGTGTTCAGATTAGATTTTTACATATTTCTTCTGCACAAGTAGAAACTCCGACCTTATAATTCTACTAGAGGTCACAGGTTCACCAAAAAAACAAGGATTTATTAGATAGATGTACCAAACAAAGAATATTCAGTCCATTGTAATCTTCTCACCTAGCACGCATCCCAAAAAGGTTTCCCCTAACTTGGTCACATTTGGCACGAATTCAGCAGCTCTAGATTTACATACCAATGTGGCCAATCTGCCAGGTTGATGTTACATATTTTACCTGTGTGTAAACTCCAGGAGATCTCGGCCGGCCACATCCCCGCCCCCAGCTGATGATGCCCCACAGGTAAGAAACACCTACTGCATCCTCACACACCAGAGGACCTCCATTATCCCCCTCACAGGCGTCCACGCTGCCGTCCAGATCACCTGCACACAACAGCAAACCTCAAAACGGACTCTTCATAAATAACATTAGACACGTACCCCAGTATAAGACACCGGGAATCAACCACACCCACCTGCGCAGATCATGCCGGGTTTGAAGCTGTCGTTGTAGAATTTCTGACAGTCTTCAATGAGGGAAACTTTAGCCCACTGTAAGACCTGAGACTTTACACCACCTGCAGACAAAAAACATTCACCATTGTTTGGACTTCATGACAATTTATAAGATTGAATATAATATTTCACTTTGGGGTTTCAAGGTCAGCAGGACAACACATATAGATATACACAGATATAACAACTTTAGATAGACTAGGAGCAGCTGCCAAGCTCTGGTACCTGCAGTTTGTCCCCAACCAGAGATGGTGCAGGTGTGGTTGGGTTGGAAGAGCCTGGTGGTCCAGGGAACACAGATAGGGCTGATCGCAGAGTTGTTTATCAAACACTCCTCCCTCAGCGGAAGTTTTTCCAGCTCCACCAGAGCGATGTCATTCTCACGGGTGACAGGGTTGTAACTTCATTTGAGTCCATGGGTGAGTTACACATGACAGAAATATGGTTTGTTTCAGCGTTAGTTGGACGTTAATGTGGTTACAGTTTTAGGTTCTTGCTCCAATCTTCAGCTGAGTTAATGCTTTGCAATATTTATTTTGATGATGAAAGAAAAATAGCAAATATCTGTTGTGTTACACCTAAAAGAACCAGACAGGGATGTCCTTTGCCCCTTTGTTTCCTTCTTTAGTTTTTGAGCCATTATCTCAGATTTTTGAGAAGTATTTAAGCCACGACTTTAAAAGGAACATCTCATCAAATCTCCCTCTACGCTGACGATATGTTACTTTACGTATCTGATGTCCTTATTCCCACATGTACTAAAAGTATTTAGAATTAAGCCATTAAGCCTATTCTTAATTTGCATTTACCTGTTTCCTCTTTACCCTTTCAAAATAAAGTACATCCCAAATTTTTTTTTTTTATTTCCCAAAGTTTTTCAGCTATCTTGCCGTTATCAGGGTGATGTCTCAAACATCTATCATGAGTGAAGCCACCAATTAAACTTAAAGAAACTTGAGAACACAAATCGGTATACGGAGTGCGTCGCCATCATTCGTACTGCACATACAGACTAACATGCTCACATACTTAGGGTGGATGTGGACGCTCTGAACAGGAACGATGTCCGTTGAGCTCTGTGATCTGGTCCTCTGCCAGAGAGAAAACTTCACCCGGAATGCATCAGGATTAGGCCTGAGGGGAATAAATGGGTGAGAGATGATTACTATCAGTGCAAGAGAGAGAGAGAGAGAGAGAGAGAGAGAGAGAGAGTTCACCACATAAAGAATAGATGATTACCTCGGGTTGGGTTCGTCTTGATCAGAAGCTCCTGTGTTTGTTATTGAGAGAGAAGGCTTGAGTCTGGAAGAGAGAGAAGGGTGAGACACTTATTGCCACCACTGAGAGAGAGGCAAATGTCAAGATACTGACACTTTTATTATTTAATTTTTTTTACCTCTACTCTCATTTTTTCTTCTAATTTCTTCTACAACAGTTTGACGTTCTGATACATTCCTTGTGATGATTGGTTGAGAAACGATGCAGCTGGTTAAAAGGTTTTGCTCACTTTACAATAACATAAAAGATAAAATTCTCCATCAAACGTCTGGTTGACTCATCTGTTAATCATTTCAGCTCTAAATCCAATAATGACCTGTCTCTACAATATCTGACGGTGCCACAAAAAGCTTTTCTGCTCAGGTTATCCCCGGATATTTCCAGTACTACTTCCTGTGTTTTACCCGATGCAGTGAGCAGCAGTGATGACCCAGCAGCCTCCGATATAAGCTCCTCCACAGTGAATTTTTCTGTTCATCTCTATGGCAACCTGCCACTGGATCTGAGTCTGCACACGTACATGAGACACAGTTTATTGGTCAGTTGATATAGGTTTACAATCATTAGCACCTTGTTAATGTGGTAATAAACACGTAACCGACCCGTCCTGCTGGCACTCCTCCCAGCACTCTCTTGAAGCGGCTGCGTCCTCCTAGCTCCTCTACAGCATCATCATCAGCATTAGGAACGCCACAGTTCAGCTGGGACTCCAGATGTGCTCTGGTGACCTTGGTTTCTAAACAGAACATCATTTAAATTACAATTACTGACATTTAACATTCAAAAACTACATATACACAATAACAAAAACATTAATGAATGTTTAAATCTGCTCAGAACTGCTGTAAAATTAGTTGTAAACTATTAATTAAATGAAAAAGCTGCTGATAAAGTCACTACAGCTAAACATAATTATTAAGCTTATTCAATTAATCTAATTAGATTATTATTAATATAATCATTAAAGTTACGCACCAGTTTTAGGTGAGGTGTACTCTGAAAAACAGAAACAACAAAAAAAAAACAACCTATCATCGTCTTCATCGGCACAAAAACAACGTGACACTGACCAGGATGCCACAGCAGTAACAGCGTTGCTGTAGCAACAAGCAGAAGTGTGGTGGCTGTGAGTGTGTTGCCGTGGTTACCTGTGTTCGTGAGAAGAGGAAGGGATGTCCCTGGCTCTGCGAGGAATGGAAAAATAAATTCTGATCAGATGTACACATCCATCCCTCAACATGAATATTGAATACATGTTTCAGAAATGGGTCGTTCTGCGTAGTGACTCTAACGTTTGGTACTTGACGTATATTCTGATGCTAACACTTTTATACTTGGGTCAAATTCTGGATGCAGAATATTTCTACACTGACGTATTAAAACTTTTACTGAAGTAAAAGAACTTCAACAATATGAAACTATAGGTCCAAGTCCATCGGTCTGCCCAACACAGCTACTGGCTCTATAGCCACGAAATTTGGTATTGATGAACGATCAGTGGCCAATGAGCAGGTTTCTATTAACGGGCTCTGTTTGGATCCCAGCTGTAAAAATGAGGCATTCTGGGATACCTGCACTGTGCAAGAACCAACTCTTATACTATTTTTAACATGTGATCTTCTATCAAAGTGTTGCTCTGCTCATTTCTGAGAAATTAAAAAAAGAACTGGACTCAGTGAATGAGCCTGGTATCTTTAGCTTAATTAATTAATTAAAAATATGTCACTTCAAGTGTGTGTGTGTGTGTGTGCATGTGTGTGTGACTACTGTCAGTACTTGTGTGTGTCTTTGATTCGTCCTCGCCATCCAGACAGTCGACCTGGCCGTCACCGACCGCTTCTGGATGCAAACACACACCTGTGCTGCAGCGGAAAGCTCCGTTCCTGCAGCCTGACGAAGAAACACAAAGACACGCAGGAATTCACACAGTGAAAGACGCGGGCTACTTGGGACGCACGGGGTTCATCTCTGCGTCTTACTCTTGCAGCACATCTCGTCACTCCGGTCGCCACAGTCGTCGACGCCGTCACACGTCTGGCTGAGAGACACGCACTTCCCGCTCACACAGCTGAAGTCGCACTCCTCGCCTGTAACGCGCAGTGGCACGCACAAGGTCACGCTCTCGACAGAACAGAACAGAACTGAACAGAAACACTAATTACCGACCTGGTGTCTGCACGCATGTTGCCGTAGCGACGTCCCTGTTGTCGATTTTGACCTTGTCGTAGATCACACATTCCGCCAGGGAGTTCTCGTAACCTTGGCAACGGACGCTCACACATTTGCCCGGTAACTGTCGGTTGCGATGGTCGACCTTCAGGGAGAGGTACGGCGCGGTGCCGGTGGACGCGGCTCCACTGCGCACACACACACACACACGCAAAACGAGATCAATTACATCATAACATCATTTTCATGATCAGGATTAAACCGGGTCTCCTCTCACAGTGGGTGTCCGTCCGCCCTGCAGGCCACGTTGGCGGCGGCCATGTCCCACAGCTCCGCACACACCAGCACCTGCTCCCGACCTCCTCCGGCGCCGGGAAGGGAGAGCCTCAGCACTCCTGAGCCCGCCTCTACTGAACCTCTGAACTTGGGTTGATTGGCTGAAACGAGAGGAAGATGAAGGTCAGTAAATAAAAATATAACACAGTAGAAAAACCTGCAGGTTAAAGTCTGAGAACACACCTGTGCAGGTTTCTGCAAAGTGGGACATGAAGGGTTCCCTGGTCCGACAGGACATGGCCATCGCCTAGAGAAGAACTCATCTTTAAATACTTACGGAGCTTTGCGGCCGTCAGTGAACAAACCAAACTCATTAGCATAGCAACATTAAGGCTACATGTAACCCATAATGCAACACTCTGTATAAGACCACCCCTCCAGAAAAACATGGTGTCATATATTCAGCCAGTATTTAATTTGTCTGTTCACATTATATTTGCTTCATCGTGACTGTGAGACGTGGGTTGATCAGGTTTGATTAACAGCTCGCTTCAGATTTGGATTCAAATGTTGCTAATCTGTGATTGGCTAACAGGAATTCATGACACCATGTTTTTCCTGGGTAAGATTGGCTCCAGTTGGAATTCAACCCGGTGGTCTTGGCGCCTTGCTCGGTGGCCACGGTGCATGTTGTTACCTGGCAATAGGAGCGAAGCTGCGTGTTGCTGTGACTGCAAATCGGGGCCACGCCCTCTGTGGGACACAGGTAGGCCGGTTTACAGGAGCAGAGCCCGTTAACGCAGCGCTGCCACGGAGGGCAAAACACCAGGTCACATGACTCACGGGTAAACCTGACCAATAAGAAAATTAATTAACTTTGTATTCAATTAATATAAAAAGTAACAAGTCCAGCCAATCAGAGAGCAGAGCACTGACTTATTTTGAAGACATTCAACTGGTCCCAGAAACTCGTCTGACTTCGGGGTGGAGCTTTGGGTTGAGACCTGAAAGGATGTAGAACACAGCAGCATTTCAACGGAAGAGATACGATTCAATAACAGAGACAAAGCAAAATTAAGTCTAAATGTCTAAATCACAAACTTCCCAAAGGACGAAGAAATAAAAATACACAATGACTATTTCACAGATTTACTATGAAATCAGTCATTTATTCAGAAATTAGAAATACAAAAAATACTCCATACAAACTAAGTTATTAAGTGACTAGCCAGTGAGTATAAGGTCGTTTTTTTCTATATCTACTAATTATATAATAACAATTGGATATTAAATTACATCTGTAATTAGTTGTTAAGGTTGGCACATTGCAGCCTCCATACAATGCTTTGTACTATACTAGACAGGGCTATAATACATTATACTCAACTGTAATGTATTATAATGTTCAGGACACAATAATGTGAACACTGTCTGGTATAAATCCTGCCTTTGTAAAATTGATCTTTGTTTGACACTGTTCACACTCATTCAACTTTACAAATGCTGTTATCTAACTGGGTTGCATTATCTTGTCATATGTTTGTTATTTTGTTCACTCGCTGAATCATGTTGCAATAATGTTCAGCTTCACCTCTAAATCTGGTGTAAGAGCAACGATAAAAACATTGTCACAGTCTCAAAAATACAGAAAAACAAAGTGTTTTGTCTCAAATTGTGGAATAATGGGCAAATCATACTAAACTACACAATACTGGAGACTGTAGTAGCAGTGTTAACTTACCGAGACAGAGATGAGAAGGAACAGCAAGAGAAGAGAAACTCTGGCCGATGTCATCCTGACAAACACAAACCAAAATGTTTCCTCTTCTTCTCCTTCTGTCTGAAAAATAAAAAATAGCAACAGGAAGTTAATTCTCTTTATAAAGGTTAATTTGACTGACAGACCAATTGTAGGTCTCCTTTATTCACTGATGATGTCACTAATCAATCATTAGCCTGTCTTGTCAATGTTGACAGACACTGTTCTGACGTGTTAAAGTGCACTGCTAAAAATTCCATTTAAATAAATTAGCTCGTTAGCATGTATCCTAGCATGTGTAAACACAGGGACAAAGTCAGACAGAAGTTATAAATGTTAAGGTTTAGCAAGGACACAAACTACACAACAAATACTAAAGACACTCTGGTTAGCAGCTGGCTAAGCTACATGAGGAGAGGTGTCGCTGCCCTCTGGTGGACAGGGCTTTATCCACAATTGTAGTTAATTACCCTCGTGATACATATTAGGAATATAAAGCTTGTTAACTAAACATAAACAATATTCAGAGATTTTAGCTAAATTTAATGGGGCTAGTTGGTTAGCATGCTAACTTCATATAGATGCAAAACAGGAGGGTTGCTTACCGCTGCTGGAGACAGCTGTTGGTGAGTAAAGAAAAGAAATGTGATGCTGAACTTGCAACATTTCTTCGAGACTGGCAACTGCTAATGCTAACGTTAGCTATGTAGCGATAGCAAAACTTACAAAACACTCCTTAAAGTACAGCTTTGTACTTTACCTCAGTATTTCCATTTTTTTGCTACCTTTACCTTTACTTAATAACTTAAGTAACTAATTACTTTGCAAATTGTGATGAATAATACGTAATAAAATAAACAAATAAGTTACAATGTGTTATTATAGGTTGACACCAGACTTAAATGAATTTCCTTCTGGGAGGAAAACATTTTAAATCTATTAGATGTTCTATTTCTACACTGCAGAATTACTTGATAACTCAGAAAACAAGTTTAAAGGACAATTTTCATGCATCCAGAGTCCAAGTAAATATCTGCATAATTTTCTTGTTATGTGAAGTATATGCAATTTGTTGCACCACACAGGGGAAACCAAGCAGTCTATTTCAGCAACATAAAAAGAAATTTCATCACACAAATACAAATATGTGTACAAGTTAATGTTCAACGCTATTTCAAGGAAAAAGAGTTTCAAAATCGTTGTGTTTTTAAAGAATTGAATTTTCAATGTGTCGAATGGTTCCCAAAGCTTTGAACAACAAATAAATCAGCATGGACCGTGAGTATATATTGTTTAATTTCTTTCATCATGGCAAGCAGAAAACCAGCGTGAAGAGAGGCGGGAACAAAGCCTATAAACTCTTTCAGCAGAACAGAAAACAGAAACAGACACAGATCACTAGAGAGACTTCATGCCGACAGATCAGGTTAGTTCAGATTCAGAATTACATGTCAATAATAATGTTAATAAATCAACACCAAACCAAACGGGAGACCATTATTAACCAAATAGGATACAAGTTTCCATGTGACACAGGTTGAATTTGCTCTCAGTACATGTTTAGACCCGTATCTGCTTGAATCCAGTCAAAAGAAATCTGTTATTTTTTTGTTTGGATCAGCTGGTACAAGCTTTTTCTGGCGAGACAGAACATTAACAGACATTTAATCACACTTTTAACCAAAAACAGAGTTTCCACATTCATCACATCTGAACATTTTGGGAGAAATTCCTGATCAGCTGATGAGTCAAAGTCTTACATCTCTTTGTGGCTGATCGAATCATGTGCAAGCATATGAGCGGAAAGCTGGAGGTCAGGCGGCATAAAGTCGTACACATTTTTTTCAATAATATTTTTATATTGCTTTTTGGAGACACACTGCAAAAGGCAAAATTAATCTTTTCATGAATTCTATGACATTGTGGTGACAATATGTGAAAGTTTGCGACGAGTCCAACATTATGAATCAATAGGAAGAAAGTAAGAAGCCGTTTGCTTCTGTGAGTTTATAAAGGCAACTAGCAAAAGAATTATGGCTTTTGAAATGTATTGCACACATAGTAATTTTGGACAACACACTATTGCAGCTATAATATACATTACTAATACGTAATACACACATCAGGAACCATTTTTGTTGACCACAGATTCCTTAAATGTATAAGGCCATTCCACTCATGGTTCTACAGACGCCAGCTTCGTGTTTGCAGTCTTATCAAACATTGTTAAATGAGCACAAACTATGAGAAGACCTTATTGTCGCTTTAGTAAAGAGCCCACTGTTTGAATGGTTTGGGTTCAGGTTAGCTCATGATTCTGTTTAGCTATTAAAAGAAATTAATTAGCTCAGGTTAGCTTAATTTATATTTGGGTTAATGATCTGCTCTGATGTTAGCTAACTATTCCATTTCATTCAGCAGCTAAACACTTGTTGAGGTTAGTTGAAAGTTCAGCTAGCGTAATAGTTGGGTTTAGGATGGCTAACAGTTAAATGTTTGCTATATTTGCTAATGTAGGTAGTGTAGCTTTGCTGCTGTGGTTTCGATTGAGGCTCATGGTCATTAGCTACTAAAAGTGTGGTTTAGCTAACGAAAGCAGCGATTTTTAGATGAGCAACTTTGTTAGCATACAAAACAGTTGGCTTCAACTAGCTAAGGCTTTAATCTCATTTTTTTTTTCAACTTGATTAAAATCAGCCTGTACTTTTAGGCTAGCTCAATGTTCCCTTTAGCGACGGAAAGAAATTGGTTTAGCTAACTTTTCATTTCAGTTGCTAAAACCATTTGTGTTCAGGTTAGCTCTCCTTTGTCTATCCATACCTTTTTCCCTGAACCCTTGACCCTTGTCTCCTCAAACATTGCGCTCGTTTCACAAGATTTTCTGAGACTTGGCAGGTGATGAACATTTACCTGTATTTGTCTGGTGGTCATTTCCTGTTATGGCTGTACAGATTATAAACACTTATAATATTACAGAAAGTGGAATGCTGTCTTTTTAAAGCCATGATTTTTACCCCCTAACAATGTTCCTCCGGTAGTATGAGCTTTTTGTTTTGTCCTTAGTGTGCAGGCAATAATGTCAAGAACAATAACTTGATGACATCCAGTTGAAACAGCTGTAGCTTGGATTTTGCAAAGATCATGAAAAGTATTATGTTTCTTTAAAAGAATTGTCTTTTCTGTTTGGCAGCAAGGGATACAAAAAACATTTATATGATAGTTATTTTCTTCCTTTTCTTAATTCTGTTTTATTGACGATCTTACATTCCTGCGATCCACCACGGTGTGACGACTTTAACTTTAAACTACGCAAATTGCACTACAGTATATGAATGGCAAGAAAACTGTCTCTTCTTTTGTGTATCTAATATTTAAGGCTGGAGAATGAATAAATACAGGCTGAAAGACGAACTAACACAAAGCGACACAAAAATATAGAAACAGTGACGGAAAAAAGACAAAAGGCCGAATCACTCAAAATGAACAATTATTCTGATTTCATTTTATTGCACCACGTGGATCATCTCTAACCATATAACCATAGAGTAATATTGGGACATATCTTTTCCTGCCGTAAAGCACGTAACACAGTAATGTGTCGTATTAGAAATAAAAAAAAAAGATTAAACATATTTAAGATTGACATGCAAAGCAAATCCTATGGAAAACCTTATTTAGAAATACAGTTTATACACAGACACACAGAGGCACTGGCATAAGCAACTGAATGAAACGTGAGTATTGTGATGATAAAAGGTTGTGATTTTAAAGGATGACCCTGATATTTTGGGGATTGATGTTGATCAGCTTACCTGTTAAATGATAAAAAACTATCATTGAGCGCTGTGATTGGGAGTCTGTACACAGACACAACAGTCTGTTGTGTGACATTGACCTAGCTCGCAGTAAGACCGATTATAGGTGTCATGCTAAAACATTAACATTCACCTCAAAACACAGAATTTTATCCACATTAAAAATGCTGTTTATGTTGATCCTTTACAATCAGATCTGTTCAATGCGGATCAATCTGGTCAATACTTAATCCACTCAATAAGATCACCGTGGGCAAAGACACCGGTCTGGTGCAAATACGAGAAGGTCATATAACAACACTTACTGCTGTTTTCAACTTATTTTCAGAATCAATAAAGACACCTTCCATATGTCTGTCTGACAAAATGTATTATGATTTTATTCTACTGCATATTTCCCACTCCACTTCTTAACAAACGAATAACTTAACCTCTATCTTGCTCAATTAAGACACAAATGAAAAATGTGTCTATATTATATTTGTTTATTTTCTAGTTGCATTTACAATAATGTGTTTGTATCTCTATTTTGTTGCAATAAATAAATCTCTGGCTACCATTTTGCCTACATTGAGCAGCAACGTGGGAATTGGGTTAAAAATCTTTTGTTGTATGTGGTTGGCGGATTATTTTTTTTATTCAGAAGGACAGAAGAGTTTTCTATGATTCTGGAAATACCTTGAAAATGCAGCAAGTGTTATTAAAAGATTCCCTTGGTTTTTGAAAGATCAACAGATTCAGATTTTTGGTAATAACGCATGAGAGACGAACTGGGGCTAATACCATGCTAACATATTGACAGTAACACACTGTGTTAATATTTCATCATATTCTTTGACACAAGATGAAAATATTGGCATGCTATGTTATGATTAGTGATGACAGGCAACATGCTAACACTATAGTTTAAGCTAGGGGTCTGGCGCTAAATTAGCATATACTCTTGTTAAATCAATGTATTATTGCACATGGAGGATTTTGGTGTCTTGTCTTATCATTTAAGAGCTAACTGATCAACCGATCATATAAACAAATGTTGCTTCACCTTTAATCTTTACACTGAGTCAAATTTTGTTTTTCCTGAACCTTTATCAACGTTAGCTAAAAACTCTGCTGGGAGTTTCCTAGCATTAGCAGTTGATCAGACATCGTACGATAGTACTTATTGCCTCTTTCTTAGATACAGGACTGAGGTCTTTTGAGTAAAACTCAATAAAGTGACTTTATCTGTAACAAGCTCCTGATTATTTGCAGCACTTTGCAAATTAAATTGCTTGGAAGAAAAGTTTCAGATCACACCAAGACATGAAGGAAATTACACCCAAACACCGATAGGCACAAAATACACACTCAGCAAACAAAAGACAGCAAGACACAGATATACTTTGGTCTTCAGATTCATACATTCATTATAGGGAGAAGGCTAACTTTCACCGCTGTTGCTTTTATTCAAGTTGGACTCGACACCCCCGAACCCTAACCCTGGACTCGAACCTACGGGAAAAATGGTGCTCAGCCCGATGTTTAAAGTGGAAGCAAAGTTGACTGCTGCTGTTATTTGTTGTTTGGGACCGTACGACAGAACTCGTCAAATCATCGGTAAAAACAGTTCTATCGGACGTATTGATTTCAACTTGATCTGTAACAATACTCTGGGGGAAAGAGATGAAAGTTTCCCACCTAGTATAAAACCACTGAACCTTTTTGGTAAATATACATCATAGTAAATAGTATCAAACTACTCGAAGCCAAATGAGGACAGGTCATGAAAAACATTTCTTGAAGCTCTTTAGACATTTTTATTCTTTTTAATATTGGTAGTGGGGATTGGATGTCATCGATTGTGCTTCTTTTTTATTCACCAGTACATAAATAGATATTAAAACTGCTCTTCATGTATATTGGTGATCTACATAATTTACTGTATATACTAGAATACTACTTAATATTAAAAAAAAAAAAAAGAAGTTGGCCAAAGCCACACGTCTACAACAGTAACAACGTGAGAAGCTCGAAACAGGACGACCATCGAGATGAATCTAAAGCCTTCAGTTCTTTTATTGACTTTGTCAACAGTAGGTTGAGCAAACGCAGACTGAGTGTAGTTTTAGTGGTGCAGACATTTCTCAAAGACAGAGCTGCTTTGTGTGAAGAAATCATCTCTTTCAGCCAAGACAGAACCACAGTCCTCGGGCCGGGTAATAACTGAGCAGTTCAGATGTGGTGAACTTTGACATGAATATTTGTGCGGTTGACCAACAGAAAACTGTCTCGACAGCGTTGACCTTTGGGATTAGTGGCGGAGTCCTCTACAGATTTACCATTACATCGGATGGACAGTATCATGGTCGTCTGCCTCTGTCACTCAGACCAGTTGTTCATTACATCCCTGTTTATCCAGAGTCACATAAAATATGAACCATTAATGTGAGTTTGTCTTGTGTTATGCTTTAAAAGTGTTTTGTGAGGTCACCGTGACCTTTGACCTTTGACCACCAAAATCTAATCAGTTCAACCTCGAGTCCTAGTGAATGTTCGTGCCGAGTTCGGTGAAAGCGTTACCGAGATATCGAGTCCACGAGAATGAGACGGATGGACGGACAACCTAAAAACAATATGGCTGCCGCTCTGACTGTCGCCAGCGCTCAGGAATAAAAAGATCTAAATTAATGCAGAACAGAACCAGGAATATTGTCATCGACTTTGGGTGACTGACAGCAGATTCTGGCTGTTATCCCGGTCCAGATGTGGAAGTAGCATCTGGGAATCATGCTGTAGATGCCTGAAAAGCTGCTCTGCCTCTGAGAAACACGAGAACTACGACATGGACATCGACCGACACGATGACTGAGAAGTAACAGCACGAGTTCTTCTATATTGCTGCTAAATGTGTGCGTTTACAGCTGTTTGTGTGTATTAATCTGTGTGTGTACTGTATGTGTGTGTGTTTGCATAAGCCACGGTTGGTGAGAAGGCTGTGGTTTGTGTGTGCACGGACACAGCTGTGTACCGTGTGCACATGTGGCATGATGCATTGTCAACTGAAGGAAATATAAAGCATGAATCCTGTGTGTCCCAACACACACACACCTCTCCCTGCTGCATCAGTACACAGTTAACAACCTGACATCCATCAGTATTTATGATTCTTTCCTAGAAATACACGTATTCAACGAGAGCATTCGGATGAGCTGCAACTTTAGTTTAAGGCCATGATTTGTTTCCTAGTAACAGATGTCAGAACCATGAACTATGGCTCCGCATCCACCGGTAAAACCTCTGGCAGATGCTAATGGGAAGTACCGTTTGAGAGGAGGTACAAGCTTAAATAATCTCATATTTCAAGGCTATTGAAAAAATAAATAAGGAAAAAATAATATAACATAAAATAAAGGATGCTAGCGATGAAGAAAAACCGAGTCCATGTGGACACGTGATCTCAAAACCCCACAAACACACCTAAGCTCCTTCTTTACGAGGCAGTCACAACGGATTCGTTCACTTCAGCTGAACTCTCGGGGGGGGGGGGGGGGGGGGGGGTGACCCCTGAATTCATGCTTCATACGCTGTTGTTTCCAGCTGCAGCTTGACTGGTGTTGGGAGTGTTACGGAGTGCCGACAGGGGATCCTTTGAGGCTGTTGAGGGCCGCGTGGATCCTGAAGTGCAGTCTGGACTCCATGGAGTAGTCCTTGTAGTTTGTCCTGATGAAGACATCAATCAGAAACTTAAATAAAATCAACAGGATTCACGTTATTATGACACTTTTTTTTAGCTCAAACATCTGAACCTGCACTCAAGAGGGTTAATTCGTCCTTTTTACTGAAGATGTTTTAACCTCAAATCAATATGAGTTTTACATTTCATACCTTTAACACATAACTATCATTCCTTACAGTGCAGCTCTGGACCAGGCTGTTTACCTTCGCGGGTTAAAGGCACGTAGAGCTACGTCAAGGTGTATGAAAGTATCCGGAGGCGTTTAAAGAATGTATATGAAGATATAAAGAGGTTTATAAAGCAGTGATGCTGAAGAAGCTTTTATGAACCAGTGAAGCTTTCAACACAGCTTTTCAAATCAGAGCTCGACGGGGACCTCTGCTGGTCAAAGTCAGGAAAATGTTTCACAACCAACCAACACATGAATCTCCTTGAAGCAGAAATGAATGAAATGACAGATGAATGCATGAATTAATTAATGAATACATAAATTCTCTAGAGTGTAATTCAGCAATCCACAATCCGCCTCAACAACCCACAAAGTCGCACCGTGTTTCCAGCATTTTTAAACCTTTGAATCAGTTTTCGAGCCGTCACGTGACATTTGAAGATATATAGAGATTTATAAAGATATATAAAAGATATGTAAAGGTGTTTAAAAGGTATATATATATCTATATATACTTACTTGGCATTTTCAATGTAGGTGGTGGCCTTGGTGAAGTCTCCCTGTTGCTTATACAGCAGACCCAACTCATAGAGAGTGAAGGGAATCAAGTAGTGATCATATCTGATACGACTCTCACTGAAAGTACAAGCAACAACACAGATAGGAGAGTTCATCTTCCCGCTCTCAAGATAAACAGTAACACTTAAGTACCTGAACCTGTTTGTGTGCATGCCTTTGTGTGTGTGTGTGTGTGTTACCTGGACAAGACCTGTGTGAAGCAGAGCTCAGCCTGTAGTAACCTGCCCAGGTGTTTCAGACAGAGGCCCTTCAACATCTGGACCAGACAGCTGTCGTCTGGATGAAACTCTGATGGGCCTGAATGATGGAGCGAGAGAGTGAGTTACTTAGCAACACTGTCCCGACTTCGCGTTAACAACATACAAACATTTAAGGGTGTGAACACAACAGGAAGAAATTTCCGGTGTTGTTTTTTAACTCACTGGGGTCGTTGCGTAGCCGCTCCTCAGCCGCCTCGATGGTGACCAGCAGGGCCTCGGTGGAGTCGGCGCTCTTCCCTACGATGGTGAAACCGTTCCAAACGTACATCATCTCCTACAGAGAGAAAACATCTTCAATTATTACTTTTAAATACCAGCCTCATCAGAATAAATGGACTGACGTAAAGTTTGGTGCCCAGTTGAAGACATCCAAACGTTTCTTGGTGATTTATCTGAGTGTGAAGGATGTGTACGTGTGAATACCAGTGCGGGGACGACCAGGGGGATGAGGTTAGCGGCTTTGTAGCGTCTGGACTTCCTCACTGCAAATTTCTCCGTGGGGATCGACTTCCCCGCCAGGCGCTGTTTCAACCCCTCCACCTGCCTGCACACACCAATACACCCGTTTGTACAAGTGAGGGCCCTCATTGGCACAGTTCATTCCCCAGCTGCTAACGCTAACTCTATGATGAATCTAAGTCCAGTGTTCCCTCTCTCTTAGCTCCGTGTTTGCTCTCCACCAGCTAACTAACTACTAAGGACTGGAAAAATATCTCTATCTGAAAATATAGTCACATTGCAAAAATCACATCCTTGATTCTAAAAACGTATTTTTCTCAAAGACTTTTTTACAGTGAAAATTTGACTGAATGACCTAAAGAGCTCAACAATGTCCTCGCCCGTCTTCTTCACTTCCTCTTCTGACATCATGCTGAGGATGGCTGCCTTCTGGTACACGTAGATCGCCTGCAGAGGGTGGGAAGTGGAGATGGGGATTAACTTCTCAGTCAGCTCACAGACACAGAATCACTTTGACTTTTGAATCAGCCGACAGTCCTGTCGTATTATCTTCCCTCCACAGACGAATGCATTCGTGAAGAGTCATCTCTTAATGATCAAAGCATTTGTAAATAGCTGTTTTAATTAATAACAGCTCATTCCCTATTAGAAAAAAAGAAATATAGGCAAATAAATAAATGAAAACCAGCTTCTTCAAGAAAGATCACAAGAAAATCTTAATGAACTAATCCGTTTTTTCATGAATCCTCAAATTTCCTTTTAAAACAAGTAAAAAAAAGTTTCAGAATTGCAGAAATGTAGTTTTACGGTCTCGAACACGCGTGCGATGTTCTGAATTTGTGCGTGCGTACCTTGGACCAGCGGCTCTCCTTGCACAGCAGGTCGGCGTAGCGGTACGCCTGCTGCCACTCCTGTTGGTAGGAGTGGGTCCACATCAGCTCCCAGTAACACAGGTGGTGGATCTGCTTCCACTCCTGCTGGCTGCTGATACACTCCTCGTACCTGGCCCGGGCCTGAAACACACATAACACTTTACACAACAACACAACATCAACACAGGGCCAAGGTCCAAACAGAAAGAGAGGGATGAAAGAATTATTAAAGCTTAAAATTCATAACTGAAATGAATTTTTTTTTTTTTTGACACATCATTTAGGATATATCTGAATTTTATGTCTTATGACACGGCTGCTGTTTGTTTGGTCTTTTACTTCTATCTTCTTGATAAATGGAAACTTTTAGAGAATGAGGATGTTTAATGATTTGGGGACATTTATTTAAAAAGTTAGGACATTTTTGGAAAAGTGAAGGATTGGGAACGTATTAGTGAGAGTCCATGAGGGTCCCCACAAGTGAAAAAGAAGAATTGTGTGCATGCGTTTCAGACCTTTTCGAAGTTTCCTCGCAGTGTGGCGATGCGAGCGGAGTAGAAGAGAATAATGGAGCCCTGAGAGACAAAAAATAAACAGAATATTCATTTCTGTTAAAACAAACACCAAAACTGTTGGTTATCAGAAGTGTTTTCTCTTTTTCTTTCTATCACATGAGACTATATTTGAGATATTTTGGCCAAATTAGACATTTGTGTGGTTGTGTTTGTGGTTGACTTACTTTGGGGTATTTGTGTTGGTATGGCTCTAGCAGAGCTTCAGCCTCCACCAGGTTCCCCTCCCCAGTTCCTTATCAAACACAACATGAGCACCATTATCTTCAACCATAATCCCATTCACAGAAGCCCTACTTGTACTCATGCACTGACAGCATGAAAACTACCTGAGGACCAGAGTTTTACAGCTAATACTCCATGCATTAGAGAGAAAGTAGATGTACCAAAAAGCCTCTGATTGGAACAACACTCGACCCCAGAATTGCTCAACAAAAATTAAGACACAGCTCTGGAGCCAGATGACTGTGGTTCAGCTTAAGGGTGTTAAATATGTGGAAAAAAGGGCAAAAGTGTCTGTGTTTTCCTACCAAGTATCAGTGAAACATATGTGTGGTAAAAGAGCAAAGTCAGAGCGGAGAGGATCGACCGCAAACTCTGACTGGAGGCCCCCTCCCTCAACTGAGACAAACCAAAGTCCTGCAAGGAAATAGAAAGAAAATCTTGTTAATGCAAATTACTTGCTTCAGGATTACACTTTTACTGTGAAGGAGCTGCAGAAACAGAGGATGGGTTAAGACATGAAAACAGAACATAAGTTCTTAAATGAATAATATAACAACTCAGTAATTAAACATCTTGTGGAATAATTATTTTTCTTATTAAGAAAACCTCAGAGGCTGAACTCACCCTGTTTCCTGAGAATCCAATGAACTCCAACAACCTCAGGATCCTCTGAGGGAGGAGAGACAACATCTAAAGAAACAGAGACAGAGAATATTGTCACATTATAGTGAAATTACACTTTAAATTGATCAGATTGTGTGTACTTTCTACAGCTACGTCTATAGCTCTGATTCGCCAATATGCTGATGACATACGCCTAATTGTGACAGAGAAAAAAAACAGATAAACAAATAGAAAAGAACAAATACCAAAGCGGTTACCTTCCCCCACACTCATTAACTGACTTAAATCACATTGACAACCAACTCTTAAACCATCATCATCATTTGGCTGAGACACCAATACAATTGCTACAAAGTGTCATAACACAACACAGAACCGAAACATTAGAAAAGACAGAAAACTCTGATGTGACTGAAAATCTGTTGCACTTAAACTCCTCCCCTCTGGGACAGCAGGGGGAATAAAACAAAGCATTGTCTTTAAAACAAAAAAAACCCACCAGGTTGAAGGACCCGATGCCCAGCTTGACTCCGCCCTCAAACTGTTTGAACGCATCAGACTGGCCGGCCAGATTCTGAGTGACATTCATCACGTTCTGACAATCCCTATCGGACGACACGAAACATACACAGTTATACTGAAATGAACAAAGACGGTCGTGGTCACTACGTCACAAAGCCTTTAAAAGCAAATATTTTACAAGGGAACATCTGTAACCATCAGTCCAGCAAGATGTTTTACATTTGGTTTGAATCGATCACTCACTTGTAGATTTGGTAGCTTGTTCGAATCTTGATGCCTCCTTTGATAAAACTGATCATGTTCTCATCCTGGAAAAGAGAAAGAGGGGAATAATTACATCTTATTCTATTAGCTTACGGCCTTATCCACAGCATCTTCAGTAGAAACATAAGCCATAAGTCCCATTAAGTGTGTATTGGGTATAATATGCAAAATAATACATACTGGGGTAGCATGGAGGAAGTTTCTGAAGTGATGATTTGAAGTCTTGTGTTTAGATTTACTTCATTGTTTGGTCAGATACTTTTGAAATGCCTCAAATACAATACTTCACATCAAACAATCTGAGAATGAAATTCACTTTTCAAATTGGACAAATCACATCTCATGTCCACACTGAGGTGATCAAACTGTGATAAGGGGTCACAAGTGAGTGGACTTTATTTTAAATGGTTGGGAACTGCACGGCTAAAACCGGGCAGTTCAGCACATATATGCTCCCCTGTTTAACCTTTAATAGTGTTTCAGTAAAGCTATACTTAAGAAAAAGACATTTAGAAGAAGTGACGTGAGCAGCATCTAGTGGACATCTGAGGAACTGCAGCTTTAAAGGGTGCACTCCGGATGAAACAAACCTGTACAAATGTCAGTGTGGCTTTCTGCAGGAGACACTCAGCGTAGCAGATCTCTGCATGCATCTCCTCTGCAAACACACAAACACAACACACTGACTTCCTGCTGGTTTTGGTTTTGTTTTCCGTTTTCTTAGCTGCACTTCCGGCAGGGTGTGTGTGTGTGTGTGTGTGTGTGTGTGTGTGTGTGTGTGTGTGTGTGTGTGTTCATGTACCTTCTTGCAGGTTGGACTGCTTGCTGATCAGACTGGACAGAGATCCAACCATCGAGTTCTTCTTCCTGAACCTGGAGAAACAGTTTGAAGACTTTAGATTTTAGAAGATGAAAGACACGGTACGAGCTGCAGATCGCCATTTACAGGAAGTGTGTTAGAGAACCTTCAGAGAACAAGGATATGGCTATTTCCAGGAGGCAGGAAACACCATTGTGAAAACACCAGTAGAAAGTGTTTTCAAAGACTCAAACAGTCTCACCTTTGACAGGTGTGTAACGCCTCCTTGATGGTTGCCATGGCAGTCTGGATGTCTCTGTGTTCGAACGTCATGGTCGCCTGCATCACCAGGATGCTGCTGTAACCCAACGCATGGTACATACTGTCCTTCCACCTGCACACACACACACACACACACACACACACACACACACACACACACACACACACACAATGTACAGTAGTGTGTATGATAGGTAACATGTTTGCATTACATAACACAAACACACACAGAGAAACATGTTGCCGTGGTTACCATGGTTTGAGGAGGTCCAGGGCTTCAGAGAACTTGTTGTTGAGGACCAGATTGAGAGCACACTGAGTCTCCTGGATGGCTGTCTGCAGATCCATCTGACACGCCCTGTACACACACACACACACACACACACACACACACCAAATCCACAAATGAAAACAGCAAGACAGGAAGTGACTAAATATGAAAGAGTCTGACAGGAAATGATGCGCTGCTGAGAGATCATTATCTTTATACACACACACACACACACACACACACACACACACACACACACACACACACACACACACCATGCTTGTATGTGTGTGTGTTTGTACTCACGCTGGGATCCGGTCGTAGGCATCTTCAAAGCAGTCCTAGAGAACACAGAAGCGCAGTCTGGTTAGATTCATCCTCCAAATAACAACATCAATCAACACTATCTGCCGTCTGATTGGCTGCTGGTGGAGAGGTGAGGTCACTCAGGTCAGTGGGATCTGACAGCCACACAGGTTCAGGACAGACCTGCACCCCCTGCAGGACTCACACATGAATTACACATCCGGAGTCAGGAAGCAGGTAGAGGAAGTCATTCACACCCACGTATAGATCAGTGAACGGGCCTCCCAAGATCAGGCCCACGGGGCCCCAAGAGTCAGGGGCCCCTCGACCTGAGCCTCCGTATGAAGTGACTGGTGACATTTCTGGTTTGAAAGTCAATCAGACAACCATAAAGGGTGGTGCTAAATGACTAAAGAAAGAGAGATTCAAAATGTCAGGGATCCATTATCCCAGAATCCATCCATCCATCACATCACTGACGCTTCAGAGCGGTAGGAGACTAAGTTCTACATCTGTGTGATAAGTGAAGGACATCAGCTCAAGAAGTGCAGAGAAAGTGCAAAGTAAGAGCCAGTTAAAGGTCTTAGGAGAGTCTTCAAGAGATCCTTGAAGACAGAGAGGGACACCAGAAGAGCACTGCAGCAGTCGAGGCGAGAGGTAACCAGGGTCTGGCTGGTGGACTGAGTCAGGTAACGCCTGTTCTCTCCTGAGTTCTTGGGTCCTTGAGAATGCACGGAGGTTTGATGGAGGTTTGATGGGTTGTGGACTTGGTTTTAAGGGTGTTGAAGGTCTTTATTGGGTCACTGGAAGGAATGAGTGAGGAGAAGAAGAAGCTCTTTAGAAGGAATTCTCAACTGTGGAGAACTTTCCTGTTGACTTAAACACAGTCTTTGTTGGTGCAGACACCACCCTGGGGCCGTGAGAGGAGCTGCAGCTGGAGAGACTGTGACCCTCAGCTGTGGAGGCTGCTGATTGGTTTCTGTATGATTTCAAAGGCATCAGCTCTGCATGAGCTCACACTGTTTATTCAAGGAGTTTCAGCTTCTCATGATAAGATTTTATAGCCACACACACACACACACACACACACACACAAACACACACACACACACACAAAGACACACACACACAGACACACAAACACACACAGCATCCTCAACCAACGCATTTTCTATTTTTGCGTCAACATGTGAACTTGAAAGCAACAGCATTGAATTCACACACAGACACACACACACACACACACACACACACACACACACACAGTCGTCTGTCTCTGGAGCCTCAGTAGCAGGCTAATAATAGCAGCCCCAGTGGCTCCTTACATAATAACGTACAGCTGCAGTCACACACACTCAGAGCAGCTCAGGGCCTGAGGCTGCAGCCATCGACCCGCTGTGGTCACACAGACACAACCACACTTCACCACTGTGACCCAGATAGAAACACTGCTGTACGTCCACTGAACAATCTGCTCGTGCAAAACAGCCCAAAAGATTCACATTTCACATTCAAGTGACAGCGCCCTCTAGTGGCCAGAGGAGCGAAGGCGGAAGAGAGGTGAGGCACTATGAAGAGCCACTGTCAGCGTTAGGAGGAGGTCGGGGAGGAACATAAACACAGCAGAACGATGTTTCAAATCAACAGTAAATGTTGTTTCTTTTAACCATGACGACAATCATTCTATAACCTCAAAGCTCCTCCAGTGTAAAGGTGTGTGTCCATGTGTAGTGTGATTATAGATCAGCTCTAGCTTCTATATTAATACTGTGAAAGTATCAAAGCCTCAGTCCACAGAGAAATGCACACAGTCTGTATTCAGAAACTGAGCCTTAAAACCAGCCGTCAGGACTTCTGGAACTTTGTGATGTCACAACAAAGCAGTCACCAAGCCCCGCCCACCTGGACCCACCATCCAAACCTTGCAGGATTTGGTTTCTCTGAGTGTTTTACCTGAAATCTGCTTTATTTCTATTGGACCACTCAGAAAACAGTCAGCCAATCAGAAGAGAGGCTCAGAGCCTCCTCTCTTCTGATTGGCTCATCGACCTGTTGTTACTAGAGCTCCAGAGAGAAGCCTGAGAGAGGAGATGTAAAACTACACTGAGATGACCACAAATATATCTTCTTATGGATCAACACTTGAAAATAAAACACTGGACCTTTAACTAAGTACTTTTTTAAAAAGCAGTAAAGATTTTATTGCCTGCAAAACAGAAATGTGGGATGATCCTTCAACGTCCAGTGTGGACAGGATGAATGATCCTGTTTCAGTCTTCATATGAGCACCTGTTGTTTTAAGACGGACGTCTCCTTAAAGGTCAACAAGGTCAAATGGAAAACTGCGGCTCGTGCACCCTGTCATTTCAAGATAAAAATAAAGAGAGAAGTGGGCGGACAGAAAGAAAGATGGAGGACGGTTATAGTCAGAAGTACTTGACAAACATGAGAAAATAAGTGCATGTGTGAATCGAAGCAGACGCTCTCTCTTCACACGTTCATCACTCTCTCTCTCTCCCATGCAAACAGATGCTCTCTCTGACACTCCCTCACACTCTGTCACTGTTTTTGTCAGTTTGCAACGTTCACAGCGATCCAAACACAAACTCCATAACCTCCTGCTGTGTGTGTGTGTGTGTGTGTGTGTGTGTTACCATAGCTGAATGCTGTCTCACCAGTCAGTCCGGCACATTAACACGATAAACTCTTAAATTTGACACGACGGGTAAAGTTTTTTTGCAGCCACAGGTTTTCAGTTGAGGTGTTTTTTTCATAATGGCACATTAATAAATAAAAAGCTGCAAAGCATAGGCCTGCAATATTTATTTCCTTTTTTTTTTTTTTATTAATCTACCGGTTATTTTCTTGATCAATACGTGAATCGTGTAGTTTATAAAATAACAGAAAACAGTGAAAAATGTCCAAAGTAATAGTTTCAATTGTTTTGTTTTGACCAAAACCCTAAAAATATTCTATTTACAATGAAATAAAACAGAAAAATATCCTCACATTTCAGAATCTGCAGCCAGAATATTGATTACTTGATTACCAGAATTGTACATTTTCTGTGAATCTGTCCAGCATCACATCTCTGTGCTACATACTCAACACATAACACAAAAACGCTCTCTCTTTCTATTTCTACTTCCCCATTCCTTTCATTCTTTGCCTTTTTTAATCAGCAGCTATTATGCAATGGAATAAGTTCCTGGCTATTTGACTTAAAAGGAAAAACAATCACTGTTGACAACCACTTTTAGACTTGTCTCATTTCTGCAAACCTGATCCAGACAGTTCTGTTTTCTATAATACACAACGCTTTTACATTGAAAATTCTTGTGAGAAAATAGATTTTTTGTTTTATGGCTGAAAAGGCTGTAAACCCTAGATAACACTTACCATATCACATTTATAGCTACAGCTAATGGATGGATGGTTTATCTGAGGCTGACTGTGACCTAATGAAAGTTTAAAACTGACAGGAGGGAGAAAGTGAGCATCAAAGATTTTTCAGCACAGGCAGCAGGTTTTTACTGTTTTTCAGTCAACAGCAGTTTGAAAACGGGAGATGTGGAAAAAGCCGCAGGGACACCAGTGTATGATATTACACACAAGGAGAGGTCAAAGTCAGAGAGGCTTCTCTTGTGACAGCAGCAGCTTTCTAATCAATTAGTCAGAACCTACACACTGTGTCCTATTACCAAACAAAGGCACTTTAACATAAACAACCCAGTGACTCTCAGGGAGGCTGGGAAACTCCCAACAACTCTCAGAAAACCCTGTTAAAGACTACAAATCCCCCTTAAGAAGCACTAACACTATGTGTGCTCACCAGAACCTCCTTAAGGAATTCTATAACCCCCTTCACTGATCTCCCAAACCTCCAGAAGCCTCCAGATGAACCTCAAGAGTAGCTCTACAGCAGATTCATTGACCCATTGGAAGCCTCAGATACCTTTATAATTAAACCCCCATCACTTGTCAAATAGGTTTTAACCTTTAAGACCTTTTGGAACCCACTATATGACATATCAAAACCATGCAATGACCTGTGGAACCCTCTCAAAGCCCATGGCACATTCTCAAAGATCCTCGACGACCCATCAAACCTCCAGTGGGTTCCACAAAACCCTCAAAAAGACTCGTAGAACCTTCTCAATTAGCTCCAAGAATTCTCAATGATTCCTAGAAGACCCATGATACAATCTTGTACTGCTTGAACAGTGACCACAAGAAGACCTTCAAGACCCTTAGAACCCACTCTATGACACTTTGAGAAGAATCTCTAAAAGTGGAACCTCTCTAAAAGCACAAAAGCATTCTCAAGCACACCTAGAACACCCATGATGCAAAAAGCTCAAACATTCATAGAAGTGCTAACACAGCATAGAAACACCTTATTAACTTTTTGAGCCCTTTCGGTGATGTTATAAGGACCTCCAAGACCTTTAGAACATATAATAGAACCCCTCTAACATCAAGACAGAAAGAACTTCCAGATTAACCATAGAACCTCGGGTAGACACCTTGAGACTGGAACCCTGAAAGACCCTTTCAGTGATGTTTTAAGGACCTCCAAAAACCCTTTGCACCAACACAGGAATAACCAGAACCCCCTTAATGACCTGAAGGTATTCACACAACCTGGAACCTCCTCAAAGATCACCAGAACTACTGTGTTTACTGACGCAGTGTTCCCCAGACCCGTACCAATGACCTGTAGAGCCCACTTAGAGACCCTGAATCCTCACCAAGAATCACTGGATCTCTATAGGTAAATGTTTCAGAACCAACTTTAAGAAAAACACAGCTTTCAGCCCAACCAGTGGAGCTACTATAGTCTTTACTTGATACCAGTGGTGTAGCCTTGACCTTTGACCCTACAGAGGAAATAGAAAGCGGCGGGTGTCTGGTCGAGGAGAGGCAGACAGTGGTCTTGTGTTTTCTTAATAATCTCATTCTACTAACTCAGCCAGTCACACAACAGTCTGCATTCATCACCTGAGGTTGTCAGTGCCGTAGGTAAGCTATAGTTACACTTAACAGCTGCTTATGGGTAAAATAATACAGCATTGTCCGGTTAAGCCTTTTGCAATTTCTACGGTGCTGCTCCCAATGTCCAGGCAGTCACACTTTTCATTTTAACTACCATATATACTGAGACTGTCCAAAGGGTTTTGAGTTTCATTTAAACTCTGACAGCCCAGAGAGTATCAGCTCTACATGTAAATTAAACATGAAGTTTACCCTCAACTGGGTAGCCAATCATGACCTAGGATTAAAACGTCTTATAATTAAAAGCAGACAAGCTTCGGGCTTTCTGAACTGCACCAAAATGAAAGAATTACTCATTTCCTCAGGGATTTTTAGTGGAACCTCATTAAGGAACCCCAAAACATTTCCAAGCCCCTCTACAACCTCTTTATGAAGCCTCAAAACCTGCTCAGAGACTCTTCAGAAAATCCTGCCCAGAAAACGACTGAACCTGGTCAGAAATACTTAGATATTGCACAGAAACAAACAGAATTGATAAAAGAAATGTAGAACCTGTGAAGAGAACCCTTAAACCTATTAAGAGAAACATCCATCTTGCTTTGAAAGCCTGAGGACTTGCTCACTGAAAGAAGAAACCTGCTCAAATACTCTGGATCCTTCTCAGAGAACCCATTAAACTTCCTTCTTCCTCTCTACATACAATCATTTTAAATGAACATAAATAAAATGTTCACTTTGTCTATTATCAGGAAATGTGGGCGACAGTTTTCTGGCTGTAATCTGGAGCTACAGTTCTGATCTGCAGAACAATTGAGTCATTAAATGCTGAGTAATGGTCCCTTAAGCAAGGCACAGTTTTCACAATCTTTCACAATAAAGTTGAGCTGCTCAGTGGCCAACAACAGATGACTGTGTGATTATGAAGCAGGATAAATAAAGGTAAGAAAAAGATATTCTGTTTGCTGTATTAACTCTCAGGGTGGTATTTACATTCCATTCATATCTGTGGGTTTTTAACAGAAAGAATTACTCGGAGCTAAATGGCAGAATTGGCTTCCCAGCTCCTAAAGTGACATCACAACAAAGAGGTCAAAGGTCAGAGACAACACATCCTCACTGGACGTTGTCAACTGTGTTTCTGCTCGTCTCAACAGAAAGGACGAGACATGATTTCTGTCTACGTGTTTGTGTCAGTTATTGTTGTGTTGCTGAGCAGCGAGTTTGAACGATAGTCTTTCACTGTGTTTAAGTATTTTTTTTTTTTTTTTTTATAAACACAGCTTGTTCTACATTCCTCACAGCTCAGACGAAGTCAGCTGAATTCCTCTGTAATGTGATGAGTTAGATGGACGGAGGCTGACAGAGGAATGTTTGTGAGCTCGGATGAGGAGATGAGCTGGTGAGATATGACGCAGAAAAAGCCCCGACACCAAGACCCAGCCCCCGTTCTCGACCTTATTTGCAGTGGTTGTGAAAACAAAGAAAGTCCCTGGAAAAATCTTCAGGGAAAAAGAAACCAAGAAACAATCTCCCTGCTCGCTATTCTGCTGAAGTCCTTTCCCCTAGAGACCCTGGAAGCTCCTCAGAGGTAACGAGGCCCTACTTAATCAAGTACACCTGTGCAACATCTGTGGGAACCCTGGAGCCCTAAAATTTCCACAGGAGCCACTAAAACATCCTGAAAGACTTCCTGTGGTAGCTCTAGAACCTCTCAAACCTCTCTAGATCCACTTCACCTGTAGAACTTACAGACATCTTGGCCCTCTTCAGAGACAACTTAAGTTATACAGTAAACAGTGACCCCTTAGACTCCTTCAGGAATCTCTCGAGCCTCTGCAAAGATACCTTGGCGCCACATACCCATACCATGACTGATGTAGTCTCGTCATGCCCTACATGAAACCCCTGGCTGGACCCTAAAGACCTGTTAGACCCACAGAACAGACCCCTCAAACCTCCTAAAATTACCCTCAGATTCCCCAAGATCCTTTAAGGGAATCATTTGACCCAATCAGGCCTTGTCAACCTAAAAAACACCTTTAGGGACCCTTAAGACTCCCTACACAAGATATAAAACCTCCTCTGTGCCCATTAGAGTCTTTTAAAAACCATAGATACCAATACCCCAAACATGTAACATCTCTTGAAACATCCTGAAATGGCATGAACCTCTGAAACGGACCCTGAGGGATTTCTAGAACCTCAATGAACCTCTTCATTCACAGATCCAGTGCCTCTGAAACCCCTTTTCAGAATCATAACACCTCCTCAACCATTCAACAAGACCTATTTAGGGCTTTGTCAAACCACAATAAAATCCCCTTGAACCTCTACACCCCAAAATCCTGAACCACCCCCACAGTTCCTTCATCCTTAGATCCCTGTAGGGATGCTGAACCTCTTCCAGTCAGCACTCCCTGTTTGGGCAATAAGAACAAGGGTGGAATGGGGTGGAACCTCAGGTTTAACTAGAACCATAAAGATTAAGCGGTAACTTCACCAGCGCTGATTCCTGTCCTGTGATTTTGGACATTTTCATCTCCATAATTTAGTTGTTAGCGATCGGCCATTTTGGACCAGAATAAATACAGTTAGTTTGAGCCTCAGAAAGCAACCATCATATTCTCATCCAGCTTCCTGTGTTTGTTGTGCAATGGCCAGCCTGAGGTTGAAATCAGATCTGCCATTTGCATGCGCACACGCACACACACACACACACACACACACACACACACACACACACACACACACACACACACACACACACACACACACAGGATAGTATCACCTCACTTAAAGCTGATTAGGCCCCGCCAGTAGATAAATACATTAATCAGCAGTTTACTCACAGCTCACCTGCGCTGAGCCATGAAGACGTACAGCTCAGTAGCTCTACACATAAACACACAGGTAAGAAAATGTAAAGTAGACTCCCAGCAGAGTGACCGTGAGCTCTAATAAAGACGAAAGAACTTTAGAAAACTTTAAGTTTATGAAGAAATGTGGAAAGTATTCAGTAAATGTAGTTTGAATGTAAATGTAATGGTATACCTTACAAAACATAATAACTATAATTATAATTATTAGTGAGTGCAGATCTCCATAGAAAGACTGTCGAAAACAGGAACACTGACCAGCTGTCAAGGTCATAGGGTTAGGGTTAGGTATTTTATTTTGAAAAAATACTATAGACTATGCTGTGGAGTGATGCCACTGAAGATATGGGCTCTTTAAACTATCACTATGGGAACACCACAACAGATGCACTATAGAAACAATTACTATGATAAGGTGTCTAAACTCAAATTTAAACACCCAAAAAAGACAAAATATAATAAATACAGAATTATAGGAATACTGTATATAATATAGAATAAACGGCTGTGTAAGACTGTAGTTCCCTTTACAATTGCTCCCTGACAAAGTTCTTGTTAATCCAGTTTCTGACCTTCTGAAAATGTCATTGTGAATGAATCATGAATTATTTAAAGAACAATTTGTTAGAAGACATATTTAACTATATCACTATAGGAACACAACCATAGAGATATCGTAGAAGTACTATAATATATAACAGGAGATAAGGTCACTAAACTGTATTCAGGACTATATGGGAATATTTCTTTCATGCAAAAGATGCCATATGTGATAATATGGACATTATATATTAGGTTTCTATAGGAACTGTAAAATCAATGAGCATGGACTGAACATCCCAAACACACCGGGATATCTGAGTACAACAAGAATATACAACATGCAAAATCTCCGTTTAAATAATATATATGTAATAATAAACTATGCTATATGACATCATGAGGACGGTGGTGTGATATAACTGGAGGAATATGGTCGCAGTGTGTCGGTGTGACTCCCACCTCCTCCTCTGCGGTCGCTCCGTTGCCTACGTGGGCCATGTCTGTGCCCTGTGCCTGTCCTCCCTCAGGTCCGCAGGTCGGCCAGGTTCCACTGCTGTTCTGTTGCTATCAGGAGAACCACAATCCCATTTCTGTCAGACACACACACACCGCGTCCGTCCTCGAGCTGCAGCCGCACACCTCTGTCTCCTCACGCGCTACAGATGTGTGTTTGTCTCCTCCTCTGGTGTCTGTCTGACCCGCTTATTTCCCGGGATGTGTCCGGTGTTATTTCTTCTTTTTTATCCGGTTCGTCCTTCTTTCAGTCGGTGGAACTGGTTCTGGACACACCGATCCTCCTCCTCCTCCTCTCTCTCTTTCTCTCTCTTCCGTGAAGAGGGAAAAAAACCCGTCTACGTTTCACACACACACCGAGAGAAAACACACCTCCCGTATTTCCGTTTCTCCGCCCCCCAAACTGAGAGAGAGAGAGAGAGAGAGAGAGAGAGAGAGGGAGAGAGACAGAGAGAGGGAGAGAGAGGGAGATAGAGAGAGGTTCAATTAGACAGTGTTCATCATGATTAGCTATGCAACACTGTATGACCACTCAGAATGATCTTCTTATACAACTTTGTTTTTAAATTATACTATATGAATATTCATATTTTAGATAAAAGATCATTTAAAGTCATATTTAAAAATATTTATATATTTAAAAAGCAGTTTCCACTAATCATTACAATGGATACCACCAAAAAGAAATTATTTTATTTGTATTGTCTATTTGCTGTGTAAACATAACTATTTTCAATGAAAGTAATTATTTAAAATCAAGTCATAATACATATAAAAAAAGTTCCTACCACTGTTTACCTGAACCATTGTAATAAGATACTTCAAGCTGAAGCAAAGGGTTATATTTCATATTTTCTACACACTCATTTATGGCCATATGGCTGTAAATATAGTCATAAGCCATAATTGTATACCACAAAGTCTTATTTTGGAGAATTAAGTCACAATTTAGAGTCAAAAGACAATATTTGAGGATTAAGTCACGATTTTGAGAAAATGGTTATTGAGAATAAAGTTGTTATAAAAAATACAATTAAAGTCTTGATTTAGTGACTTTTTTTCTAATTACAATACATACTGTAATTTTCAAGAAAAAGTCAATATTTCAAGAGTAAAGTTGTAATTTGATGTTTTAGAGAATAATGTCGTAACCTTTCAAGAAAATAATTGAGAAAAATATTATATTTGAGAACGAAGCAATTTCAGTCATTTTGAGAGTGAACTTGTAATTCAACAGGAAAAAGTAACTTTTAGACATAATGATAATTTTACAAAGAAAAGTCAATATTGAATAAACTCTTTAATGAGTGAAATAATCCGACTTGAGATGCCATTTCCACTTTGTACAACGGTGTTTTAAAAATCTAAGTAAAAATTACATATTTACACAAGAGTCAGTAACAGCCATCTAAAAAAAAACAAAAACTGTAACTGCAAAATTTAAAAGAATAGACACATCTCACTGTCACAATAAAATACAGAATAAAATATCTTACTGTACAAAGAAAAAACACTGAGCAGCTCTGACCGTTTATCTACTGCTGTGGTTCCTTGAGCAAGGCACCGAGTCCTCCCCAGCAGCGCGAGTGTGAATGCAAAGGTTCAATGAGGCCATTTAATGCTGTAATTGAGAGTTTAAAGCTGCTGCGAGTGTCGTTTTAACACCAATATGACACTGAATTAAAATTATGCACATTCCAAATTAAACCACATTTCCCATCAGCCCCGTCGTCTCCTGTCCTCCCTGAACAGGACGAACACGTTGGAGATTTTTAACTTTAACTATACTCATGCTTATATGCTTCTAGGCAGACGATTAAAGAGCGTTAGCAATAATGTGAATTTACAAAGTCTTACAAGGACCTGACGTCCCTGTAAACACCCTCACTGCAAAATTTAGAAAATGAAAACAAACTGAAGAACACAAACCTTCTCATAACAGATTATATTCAACAGAGGTAGATTATGGTTATGTCGAGGGATTAAAGGTACAGTTCATCCAAAAAGAATAAAGAAAAGAGTTTTAACATTTCACACAAGAGATAATTAAGGTCTCAGATTAGGTTATTTTAAGAAGACAGGTAAAGGTTAAGGACAATGTTAATGTTAATGTATGTAATGCTCATGTGGCTGATGTCATGACGGAAAAATAAAATAAATTAAAAAAAAAAAAAAAAAAAAGTGTGTTAGTGGAAGGAGATAAACAGTGTCCTGATAAATATGAGTCACTTTCAGTCAGTATAAAACCAATTAAAAATAATCTGAATTGTGCTAATGCAGCAACGTTAGCAGGAGTTTATACGTCAGGATGAGCTACACCAACAACAGGTAAACAAAGTATACCTGCTCAGGTGTGACAGACCTCCCAAACACTGTTAACTCCTGCTGACACAACAGGAAACAAACAGCAGCTGTACAAGTGATAAACTGGTGTGTGTGTGTGTGTGTGTGTGTGTGTGTGTGTGTGTGTGTGTGTGTGTGTGTGTGTGTGTGTGTGTGTGATGAGGTAAATGGTTGTGGATATTCTCATTGTGCATGTAGGGGGATTGTTTCAGGTCCACACCCCTCAGCAGGGAGTTGGTTCAGTCCAGGCTGCTTCAGGAAGAGTCCACTGGAGCTGTGGGGGGAGGGGAGGAGGAGAGAAACACAATCAATACACAAATAAAGACACAAACTTTTTGCAAAAGTTTCTTTGTAATAAAGTATAATAAAAATTAACAAATGAAAAATGTATAAGAACATATCTATCTATTCTTAATTCATTAGTAAAAGAAATAATGAATGCAAAATTGTGTTATCTTGGTAATTTATGATAATAAAATAAATCTAATGAAAATATATATTTCAAATATTTTCTACAAAGTTAAAAACTCATTAATCATGATCAAGCTGTTATTGAATAACATGAGAAAAATATTAAACTGATCCAGTTTAGTCAAAAAAAAAAAAAAAAAAAAATCTAGTCTACATTTTCTACACATTCGATCAATAATAATTCATATAAATTTATTAATACACAATAATAATTGTCAATATATTGTTGAACAAATTAATGATGACGTGTTAAAGTTAATTGTTCATTATTGATATAATATATTAAAATCTGGTTACTAGCTTGTTTCAGGGCTTTCAACTGTATCACATGGTCTTCATCAGCAAAGTTTGCACTGGGGAAAAAAGCTAGTAAGGTGGAACCGTTTAGTAAACCAAATTAAAAATCTAATTCCAACATTCGTAGCGCCATAAATTCTATTAAAATTATTTAATGTATTTATTTTATATGTAACTACAAACATTCAGTCACTTACCTTCTGTTTTATCTTCCTCTTTCTGCACCTCCCCCTCTGTCTTCTCCTCTTCCTCCCCTCCTCCGTCGCTCCTCCTCTTCTCCTTCACCTGCCCCATGCGTCTCTTCACCTCCTGCAGCACCTCCTCCCTCCTCACCTTCTCCCTGCAGAGCTCCGCCCTCTGAGCCTCCTCCCGCTCCTTCTCCTCCAGCAGCGAGCGCAGGAAGGCGGCGCTCACCACCTCCTCCCCCTCCCCCACCAGGAAGGCGTTTTTGAAGCGGTTGTACAGCATGGAGGCCTTGTCCATGATGGCCTGGTTCGCTCTGTAGTACCGCATCTACACATTAACAGAAATACTTACATTAAAGAACTTTAACAGTTTTCAGGCTCTGACTTTCTCAATTCATCGATTCACATATAAAATTTCTGCTTTTAAAATGACTTAAACATTTATTGGATTATCTAAATAATTGCAGATTCGTTGTCTTCCATCCAACTAATTGATTAACTGATTAATTGTTGCAGCTGCGCCGGTGTGTTTGCGTACCTTCCTCAGGGTGGCGACGAGCTCGCTGTGTCTCTGTACGTGTTGGGACGTCACGTAAACCATACTGAGCTGATCCAACGCCGCCAGACACTTACTGACGTCCTGGAGGACGGACGGAAACAAACAGGAGGAATTATTATTATTATTAAAGTGGTAAAAATCACTAAAAGTCGTTTGATTCATTGTTAACATAAATGTGTGAATGACCCGGTCTGATATGAGCGTGTCTCACCGGGTTGTCGCTCTTGAGAGAGATCCGGATGTCTCCGTGGATTCTGTGCAGAGTCGAGTCCGTCAGCGTCATGGTCGAGCTCTTCTTCTGCTGCTCCTCCTCCTCCACCTTCTCCCCGTCCGACGAATCGCTCTTTGGTTTGCTTTCTTCTTCTGCACTCGTCGTCTCTGGTTTTGCCTCTTTGTCCGGTTTGGACTCGGCCTGCCGCGTCTCTGCCGGCGTTTCCGCCGACGTCTCTGCTCCGTCTGTCGTCTCTTTGTCGCCCTTCTTCTCCTCCACGCTCTTCTTCCTCGTTTTTGTCTCATCCGTTTTGTTTTTTTGATCCGCTGTAGGTTTGTCGTCTTTCTTCTCCTGCGACTCCTCGTCAGGTTTTTCGCTCTTCACCTCTTTCTTCTTCTTTTCTGCTTCGTTCTTCTTCTCCTGTGATTTTGAAGACGCCTTCTGAGCTTTTTGCTCGTCCTCGTTCTTCTTCTCCTCCTTCGCTGCTCTTCTTGCATTTGTCCTCTTCCTCCTTGCCCTTCTTCTTATTCTCTACCTCTGTTACGTCCTTGTCTTTTTTGTCCTCCGTCACCGCTCTTGTTCTTTCAGACTTCCTCTCTACCTCGGTGCTTTTTTCCATCTTTTTATCATCAGACTTTTTCTCTTTCTCCATCTTTTTCTTCTCTTCTACCTTTTTGCTGTCCATCTTCTCCTCCTTCTTCTTCTGCTCCTCCTCCACTGTCGCTGCTGCTGCCGTCGTTCCTCCCATCATCGTCTTCACCTGAACCTTCGTCCCCTGTCCGGCCGTTGCTTTCACGATCTTTCCGATTATTTTCCTCTCGTCCTTCTTTTCTTCGTCTTTCTGCTGCTTTGTTGCATCGCTCTTCTTGTCCTCTCCTTTTTTCTCCTTCACTCCCTCATTTTTCTTTTCCTCCGTCTTTGTTTTGTTGTCCTTCTTCTGCCCGATATCCTTTTCCCTAGCCTTCACTTCCTCTGTTTTACTCCTGGTCTTGTCACTCTTCTCTGCTGTCGTCTTTCGGCCTTTTGACGTCTTTGTCTCGTCCTTTTCTTCTTTCAGAGTGACCTCTGTCGTTTTTTTCACCATCTTCTTCTTCTTCTTCTTCTCCATCACCGTCTTTCCAACGACTTTCTTGCCGACGGTTGATTTTTTCAGGCTCTTCTTGTCTGGCGTTTTCTGACTCGTCGTCTTTTTGATCTCGATCTTCTTCTTT